GTAACTTTAAATATTGCCTTTTTGTTTGCACAGGTACCCACCATCTCCAGGGTGAAAGTACTTTTTCTGACTCACCCATCCACCTCAACCACCTCCTTACGGTGACTTTGCTGATCTATATTAGGCTTACTTTTAGCATTCAGCAAATACACTAGGCCTCCCACTGCATTGAACTATGACACTAAAGGGTGCCATGTGCATTGGTACCAGATGCCAAAAGACGTGACAAAGCGTATGTATTCGATGCCCTAGGAATGAGAACGGGCTGCCATAAAACGAATAACGTCCGGCTGCGGACTGTAGCACCGCTCATGCTGCGCCCCTCACGGTAGAGTCTGTAATGATTGGCTGTAGCCGCGTCACCTTTCTGTATGGTCTGTTCTTTACATGTGCATACTTATTCCCGCCCAATTTGTACCACACGAGTGAACCTTATAGTTGACAAAAGCCAGTGATTTAAAAAACATACTTTATTAACAACTAGGGGGTAACGGTACACAAAAATCACGGTTCGATATGTACCTCGGGTTTGAAGTCACGGTTTGGTTTATTTTCGGTACAGTAAGGGGGAAAATGCAAACATTAAATTGCTACTTGTTTATTATGATCTTCTGTAAACATCAAAATTAGTTTATAAGTTTTTTAAATACATAAAAAAGAATAAGAAATAAAATACTGCTGCAAACTACTACCAAGTTCTCTACTAAAATATTCTCAAAACAATACCACATATAGCTAATAAAATATAATAAAAATATAAATATGGATTACAGTGCAGCATTCTTCTTCTTCGTTTATACCATCTTAGCATTATCAATCCCAGCTTGAAGGCCAGCTCAGATTAAAAAAAAAAAACATTTCCGAAGTCTAAAGTCTGTTTAAATGCCGAAAGGCGTTTGCACTGTGCTCGTTTTTGTTTTTTCCCTTGTCGCACTGACGTTCTCATTCATGTGATACCAATAGTGAGTTAGCAAGTTTGACGTTTTGCCAGAAACATACCTGATCACTACTGAGAAATGTGGCCCATTGCTTTCGTCTTAACGACTTGTCTTTGTCCGTTGTTGTATTTCACTAGGAAACTGAAGTGTTCCCAAACAGGAGACCTTAACAATAAGGGAGGGTCTACAAGCTCTGGCTTCTCTGCACTGGCCATGATGCTCAAGTTGCTACTTAGCGAGAGGCTAGGCTAAAGCATGCTACTTGTGTAGTGCCGCAACATGGAGATTTGGTCCACCACTTAATATGTCCATGTGGAAACTCTGAATTTACGTATGTTCACACAAAACAAGGCTTATATTTGACATTAAAGATTGCATTCGGTGCACATTTGCACCGTTCCGAAAGTCCTATACCGAAACGGTCTGGTATGAAGACATGTACGTTACATCTCTATTAACACCACAGTATTAATCACATACACTATAGCAGGCAGTATTAGCATAAAGACTGAAATTAAAAAGTATTTTGCTCAATATTCTCGTTACCACAAGCTAAATGTTAAAGTGATCTGGGAAAGTCCATCCATCCATCCATCTTCATCCGCTTATCCGGGGTTGGGTCGCGGGGGCAGCAGCTCCAGCAGGGGACCCCAAACTTCTCTTTCCCGAGCCACATTAACCAGCTCTGACTGGGGGATCCCAAGGCGTTCCCAGGCCAATGTGGAGATATAATCTCGCCACCTAGTCCTGGGTCTTCCCCGAGGCCTCCTCCCAGCTGTACGTGCCTGGAATACCTCCCTAGGGAGGTATATAAAAGGGACCAAAAGATGTTATCCTTCAGATTTGGTGTTGGCATTGCTTGCGTTCACACGTTGTATGCCGACACTGTTTCTCCTTGGCCAAGTCTCATTAAACTTTGCTGTGTAAAACTTCACCGGTCTCCGAAAACCTTCTTCCTCGCACCTGACAGCTGGCTCAAATAATTCTTCAACAGTTACCCTTAAACTGCTGGATGACACATTTTTGTTAAATGGCAGGGATGGGGTCATTTCATTCTTTTCCCTGGGGGACGTTAAGACAGATATTTCATTATAAATTTACATTCTTATGCATCACCAAAATGATGTGACATTATGCATTTTAGACCAGAAACCATCATGGCATGCTTCTATCAATGGAAGACAGACAGGCTTCAACTCCTATTGTGGGTTTGGACAGAGTAGTGGGAGAGGTACAAAAATGGGAAGTCAATTCATCAGGTGGCACGGGACATGACGATAAACAGGGTGACTTTAAAGCGCGATACTAGTAGACATAGCTGCAATGTCTCATCATCAATTGCAATTGAATGTTGGGACCTGGCATTTGAGTTTGCACAATGAAATGACATTGATTTCCCAGACCCCCATGTGTCTCAACTTATCCTCTCCCTTGTGAAGAGTTCACATTTTTTGGAAAGCCATATTTTGAAAATAGTTTATTCATCCATCCATCCATCGTCAACCGCTTATCCTGTGTACAGGGTCGCGGGGGCTGGAGCCCAGCTGACATCGGGCGACAGGTCGCCAGTCCATCGCAGGGCCACACATAGACAAACGACCAGTCACACTTACACCTAAGGACAATTTAGGGCCACCAATTAACTTAGGCTACATGTCTTTGGGTGGTGGGAGGAAGTTGGAGCACCCGGAGAGAACCCATGCAGACACGGGGAGAACATGCAAACTCCACACAGAAAGGCCGGGGCAACCGGGGTTTAAACCCGCGATCTTCTTGCTGTGAGACCACAGTGCTATCCACCGGACCACCGTGCTGCAGTTTATTCTAGATCCAAATTGATTATTCCCAGGGATGCACCACATCCTAAAATATATGTTCATATTTTAGTTGGAGACGTTACTGTTATAGCCTTGCTTTAAAGACACCTCAAGTAAAAACTGGCTCAACTCACCCCGCTCTCCCCTATTGTTTTTCAGCATGTAGTGAAATGACTGATGATTTTTGGGGGAGGACACATACATGGCTACAGGCCCCATGTGTAGCATTAAAGAAGCTCTTTGCACAAGTTCAAGCACAAAGACCCATCACCTGCCTCTGCCTGCTCACCTGAGAGGTATCGCATGTCCTTTCACCTGTGTTAATACTTTACCCCTCTTTCATGGTGGCCTTGTTCCTGTATTTACCTGACACCTCTTTGCTGACACCGCACTTTGTTGCAGTTTGACTCTCCTCTTCCTCATCACCAGCATTGAGGCCCCATCTGTGGTCAAGGATAAGGAGGAGGACAGGGAGGTGGAGGGATCTCTGTAGCCCTACTGATTTACAGCCCCGCCTAACTGTGACTGTGGCTCATGGCGAAGGGGCCAATGTCAAAGCTTCATCGGGCAGCTGTGCTTGTTAGATTCATTTTATGGCTCTTCTCATTCCTTGTCACAAGTGTCAGTCCTGACTGAGCTATAGTTCACCACATGTTAGACCAGATTCACTTGAAATGCATACAGTCGCACTGTATGGTATGTAAAGAGCGGAACGGCTTCACACAATTAGATGAGTTTCTAGAGAAATGCGTTGGGCGAAATCCATCTAAAAAATGCTGTTAGTATATGACTGACTCAAGGAAGCTGAACAGTTCTGACATTCAAAGGAGCTCTGACCCATAAAAGGTTACTGTGAAACTGTGATGTTGACCACACAAATCCGGATACAGCAGCCGTTTTGCTCTCAACAGGAACAAACAACTAGTTAGTTTGGAAAACATGCTGTTTTGTATCTCTGTTGCTCAGTTTGTTTTGAGATATTTCAGTTCTTGGCTTGGCTTGGCTTGGCTTTAGAAATTTAACTGGAGAGACAAATAATAATAACGTTTAAAAAATTTGTACATGTGATGGTTTGGTTTGAATTGTAAACAATCTAACCCCTGGTATGCAGCCTTTTATTTAAGAGATATGTTTCATGGCCAGAAGAACACCTGAACATTACACCAAAATGTGATTGGTGTACAAGTCATTTCAAAACCATGGGCATTAATATGCTGCAGTAACTCCTCCCCTGTTTAAATTTTGTTCACAATCCAAACTCAAAGCCTGACTGACAGAGTTTACAGTCTGTACTTGTTCACTTTGAGCCTCATTCTTCAAGTGCTATGCTTTCATAAAACTTTCTCTAAGTCACTAAATAGTACGACAAGGCTAAACAGAAAGTCAGATCAGGCTGGAGCTATTTTTTATAATGGGCACATTTTTATAATTTATTGTCTTTTTTCATCTCTTGTGTCTGAATCATCTCAATTAAGCACCAACTGGAAGACTATAACACCATCTCAGGAATTAATCACAATACGAAGTGATTAAAGAAGGTGAGACTAAATCAAATATTTGAAAGTGTTATGGACTGTGGATTTAACTTCAACTAAATTAGAGCGAAATGTCATTCCAGTGGGACTTTCAGGACTGTTATTGCAAAAAGGGCTTAATTACAGCTGTTTTAATTATAAAAAAATCGGACATTAGGGCTTGAAACGTGAATTTTCTCTCTGGTTTGGACAATGTCATACCCCTAATGAGAACTGTTGAAATGTTTCACTACAGTATAACTGTCAAAAGAAAATGATGGAAATTGGAAAGCCTGTCCAACCTATCCCTGCTCTAACAAAACAGCATTTAGCCTTCCCATCTGCAAGAATTATACAACAAGAGGTGGGATCAGGCAGGCTACCCACTCATGATATAATGATGACCACATATAGCCCACAGCATATCCACCACAACACCTGCATAATAGACTTATGGAAGAAAAGCATGCTAAAGGGGGAGACAGCTTCTGCAGTGGTTTGTTTGTGTTGGTGGCGACGATGAGGAAACATCTGATCAACAACAAAAAAAACAACACAAAAGCAAATCTCTCATTTGACCAAATCATGCCTGCAGCTGTTAAACACCGCATTGAATGCTTTCGCTATCTCTCTTCTTTTCTTTCTCCCACATGCGCGCGCCTGCACACGCGCTCGCGTCCCCACGCAGCCGGGCGCGCACACGCAAACCTGCTCACCAATGCACTGCACAGGACAGGAGCCCCTGACAGTGCCCGTGCCTGCCACTGATCGCTGCCTGGCGTCTCCACAGCTCCGCTGGATGTTTGCGCAGAGGACACCTGCCTCCGCCGGTGACTGCACCGATCCGCGCGGCACAATCCAGCTCGTTTCAGCCTCTCAACTTTTGACCGATTTTCTTGCGGACACCTGTTCCAAGACTGTATTTGATTAGGGTGAAAAAAACGCTGTAGAGCCAGGCGTTTGACTACCAACTTGGGGCTTGATGGCACTGTTATTTTTTGACAGGTCTGGAAAGTTGCGCTGCGTCAAGGAGCATGGTCGCAAACTTTAAAAGCTTATAATAATCGAGAGACAGTTTTTAGAATGAATGCAAGTGAGTCACCACTTGCGTGAGAGGCGCACGGAGCTCCGGGGCTCTCCAGGTACTGAAAAGGAAAGGCGACACGGAGGAAGTCGTGATCTAAGCGGCGGATTGCGCCACGGAGGACGGAGGGAACGGACCGATGAGTCAACATGGGTAAGTAAGTGGAGTACTGTTATATTTTGAAACGATTGCCGCCAGAGGATGGGGAGCCCATGGATCTGCAAATCATCTATATTATTATCTGAGCGCACTCGTGGTCTTTACAATAACAGTATAGGGTTGATTGTTCTCCACTGGCGCATCTGTTAGTGTGATGGTCAGATACCTTTCGCGGCTTATTTCTGCACGGCAAGCTGACATCTCCAGTGTTAAAGAATCAGAATCCCCCCTCCTTATTTTTTTTTTTTTCATTTAAGACCGACATCAGCACTGAGAGGGTTTCCTTCTCTATTCATGAATTTTAAAAACACAAATAGCCTACTGCTGGCGGGAGTGTTGGTGCTTCTGAATATCAAGGCGAGGAGATAATGCTCTCACCTTCATGATTTAGGAGCGATGTAGCCCAAATCTGAATCAGTTGACTTGGGTTTAGGTTCCAATGCAAATGAGTTGAAGCTAAATACATCTCTCAGATAAAGTCCTTGGTATTGAAGCTGCAAGGACAAGTTTATTCTGACTTTAAATGGTCAAAATTTGGTGAGATGTGTCTGTCTTTTGTGTCCTCCCCCTCGCCTCCTTCCCGTTTTCCCCCTGAAAGCTCTGACATGTTTTGACTCCGTCCTATTTCTTCTACCTCCCCCCTTCTCCTGACAGCTCTGTGCACCTACAATCTCATCCCACACTGCCTTTCACCTCCTCCATTTTACTGGCTGTGGGTGCTCCAAACCCACACTTCTCTTCAGTGTTTCAGGAGCTATGCGTCCCTGTCAATATTAGACCTTCTTTGTGTGTGTGTGTGTGTGTGTGTGTGTGGGGGGGGGGGGGGGGTGCACAAACGAACTGTAGGTGTCCAGAATTGTCAGTGAATATGCGTTGAAAGGATGTCGACGTTCAAGCAGTCTGGAGCTGTTTTAATAGAAAGCCTCACGATGTTTCATGTCCTCTCTTTCTGTGCAACTTTGTCAGATGTTCTTGAATATCTCAGTAAAGTACTATTATTCAGACGTAGGCACGCGCGAGCGCGCGCACAGTGCATGTTTGATAGGCGGCTAGGTGCAGAGAGAGCCGTTTGAGTTGTTCTTAAACTGCACCACTGTGATTCATTTTGTTTGTCTTGCCTTGTCACTTGTTGGATTTATGCTGCTGTTTTGTTTAATTTTTTTGTTTTATTTTTATTCCCAAAATTACTGAAAAGCTGAGACAGGCTGGGGGGATGCATGCTGCCCACACATCTGTGCGGAATTGTGGCATTTTCCCAAGTAATGAGCAGCTTAGTGCAACTAATGAGCACATGCTATTACTGATTTAATTATGTCACCACAATGACTATAAGCCAAAATAAGTGTTTGCTTTTATTAGGATATCAACATTTCTGACTGAAGCTCTCAATGTCATCTTCATCCATTGTCCTTGTTTTCCTCATTCAGGGACAGGTTAAGAGCCAAAGTAAAGATTTCACTGCCTTCAGGGCTGAAGTTTGGTTGTCTAAATCATCCACACAGAAGGGTGGAACCAGGTTTGGCAATGTTTGAAGCAAGTAAGTTACATCTGTTAGAGTAGTCTAACTGTGAATAATGCCCTTCAAATCTAACACACACAATTCACAACACCAAAATGCTTCATTTATAATTATATCAAACAACAGCTGGATCTAGAGAATGTTTGGGATTTTTACTTGATAAATGACTTAAATGATCATCACAATTGTTGCCAAAAAAATGCTCAGTTGGTTGATAATTCATTTAAATTGACTAATCATTTCAAGACTCACATCAAGTAATGTAATATTATTATTTCAGAATGATAGGTACGAAAAGATACAATACAACTTTAAACTTTAAAGAAATTCATTTTGTATTGTTGTACAGTTGCGTTCAAGTTATGTACACCAAGACTGAACATACAGCTACACATATTACACTTTTTGTAAATATAAAAAACACATAATCAAACAAAGAATCATCACAGTTATACACATTATATTATATCCATTGGATCCAAGTTAGCAGTACACTGATTTTACTTTAGCAACAGTATAGACTGTATTTAAATGGAGGGACTCTATATTTGAGGGCAGAAGTTGGTATTCTCCATTTAAAACATGAGGAGTCAGAAGAGATATTGTTAGCAAGTCTGAGCATGCTCTTGTTGTTGAGTTGCTTGAAAAGAGAGTGCAACAGGTTGGCCAATAATATTTGCAGAAATTGGGATATTTGGACTGATTAGTTTTTAAAATTCACAGATAGGCGGCTGAGCCAGGCCATACTGCAGTACAGCATGACGCTCTGAATCACAGAAAAATGATCTGGCTACTGGCTCCAAAAGATCTGCGTCTACGAATTAAGTACACATGCTGCTGTATCTGGATCAAATCCATGATAGGGTGGCAATTGCCAGGTGTTTTTATGAAGAGACTTACATTGTGAATTGTCACTGGAGGTAGCTGACAATCAGGAGGAAGGCTAAAAATAATTTTCTGTCTTATTAATTTTGATGGTAAGAGTGTTTGTTTCCACACCATTCAATTAGTCAATCAACATCACATTGGTACAATCTATGGTTGTAGATAAACTGAAAAGGATCCTGGGATTTACCTATTGCTTTGCTGAGATGTTGGACCATACTATTTTCTAATGAATTCATAATTAACAGATGTAAGCGCTACTGGCCTAATGTAAGGACGACATACTTTTGACTAACAAGCAAACAAACACTGATACATTTGTGGCCTAAGCTGTTAAATTTATATTCAGCGCTGCCTCCCACAACAACAAAACTGCGAACCACACTAAGAAGCAATGTTTTCAGCCGACAGAAAGAAAAAGCAGAGGAAAGTGATGCAGGAGTCATTGTGAACAACACAGGTGCCCGATGGTGCGAGTGAACACACTCATCTGCTGTTGTAGAACTGCTTAAGTAAGAGCAACAGGGCAATTACGCTCAAATAACCTTCAATTTATTCAATAATCCATCCATTTCCTAGAGCAGACAGAGACAGTAATTGGTCCAGGGAGCACATTTCTTGAAAACATAAGCTGGATTTCATTTTTTTAAGTAACCTGTGGACACAGTTTTTCCCTTCCACGTATTCAAGCTTTTAATAGCGCAGATAATTAGAAGAGTGTTATTCACAGTTTTGCCATTGGCATAAAACTACTAACTTTTCCTGAAGCTTTGAGACCATTATGCAGTCTTAGACAGGAGGATCTAGTTTCTCAGCTCTGTAAATTCATTATCACACACTGCAAAGTTTTAATTGGATCAAATAAATACCCTTAACTGAAAGACAAGATCTTGCCATCCTACAGATTAAAGCAGTAACGGAAAATGTTGCTCTCTACTGGTTGGGTTTACAGTGTCCTCAGAGCCACACTGTGTATGATAAAGAAAAAACCTGCAATAAAATAAAATAGCTTTTAAAATAGCTGAAGCCATCAATAAGGATTATTAACAGTTCCTATGAGGCACTTTGCAGCAGTTTAGTAACATTCACTTCACCACTACCCACATACGCCATCAAACCGTTACAGCACAGCCTATCACATTGAACTCTTTTCACTGTACCTGTATAGGTCATTCATTTGGTGTGTGTGTGGTGGGGGGGAGGGGCATGCTGGACTATTTTGAATGGCAACCCTTCTTCCAAGTTTGTATTTCTACTTCATTCTGTGTTTTTCTTGAAATTCCAAAATAACTGTGAAAGACTTCACGAAAACAATGTGTCCTGCACATTGAAGTCATGCAGTGAAATATGGGCAGAGGCACAAAGCTGAGAACAAAGTCTGGCAGTAAGCATTGGGAGCTGAGCCTGCACACCAATAAAACAAACAAAAAACAAGTAGACTCTGCTACAAGAGTCACATGCTAATGTGTTGTATTTTGTACGTCACTGAAGCATACTACAGCCTACCTTTGGTTGACATGGTTTTGTACATTTCATGATGCTTGTTCATATTTTGTCCAAACGACAAAAAAGATCATTTGTCAGGGCCTTCCAAAACAACATATATGTGCTTTCTGAACTGCCAACTCTGCCTAAACCAAATATAGCCACACCTAAAACTAATTGGTTATGCTTGCGGAAAGCTGTTGGGTCTGTAACACAAAAATTAAAGACTAAATAACCAACAATCAAAGTTAAGAAGTTAAGTTTTATTTATTTAGGTTGACACTCAAAAATGTAGGTAATCTGCTTTATCAGGACTGCGTGGGTGTGGTTTGATTAGACTGAGAGTGGCATAAGCAAACAACCCTACAACTGTCGTCATGTTTCACCTGAAATGTTGCTAAATCCTAATTGGTGCATTACCTTTTTCCAGCAGAGCCCCGTCCACTTCAAAAGCACAATACAGAAATCTCCTATGTGAAATAACCTTTTACGGTTCTAACCTCAACTGTTCTAAACCAATCTATTCTAGCAGAAAAATGTGAGTCTGTGCAGCAGCCCATAGTTCATAACGTGAAGCTGATTTGAAATGAGGTCTTCAGGGCCTTTTAACAAATGACCATTTCTTTCATATTTATGATGAGGACAGCATCTTTGGGTATAGTAAGAAGTCCCAGAAGGGACATGGAGAAAAATGTAAATAGGAAAGGGGGTCGGGGATGAGGGGGGGGCTATTTCTGCGTTCTCTCACACTAGTTTAAACACGCATGTTCTTCCAGGGAATACCTGGGAAACAGAAAAATAAGCACCAACAACAGTAACATGTTTGGAAAGCACCTTTAATATTGTCAATAAGTTTCACATAAGGAAACATATTTGGATATATAATCTGTGCAGTTCTTGCCAAATATGTTTTTTTATTAAGTTACCATTTGTGCAGATGGTGCTTTTATTCTAACGGATTTATGTCAGATTTTTCTTTCCCTCTATAATATGTTCCTCCACATCCCTTCCAGGGCCTTCCCCGGAACGGAAGTGGAGCCAGTGTAAAGGCTAGTGAAAATGATGAACATACTGTGACAACTTCCATACATAAAGTATACTATAG